GAATATAGTTAACATTATTGAGAAAGAGGCATACCTCTGGTATATGCAATATTTCCTTCTTTGACAGCATCTTATATAAAATTCTATTGTGCTTTCAAGAGTACTTTGACGATGACTGAGCTTATTGTCCTTGATACTTGTGTGTTCTACCTTTCTTATGGAAAGTGGAAGCTTGATGATTTTGTTGATGAAAGTTATTTGGTTTAAGGTTTATATATTGGTCTGTTCGCCTAATCTTTTAGTTATTGTTTCTACTTCTTAAACAATTTCTAATGTTGTAGTAATTGATGTTTTACTATACTTGACTATCTCATTCTGGCCTGAGTTTTCCTTGTTAAATTATAGTGGGAATATGTATATATAACTGTCTACCTTCCAACAGATCCCTTGGAAGAATGATGATGAACTGCTTGCTGCTTGGAGAGATGCCAGAACGGGCTTTCCTTGGATTGATGCGATAATGACCCAGGTTGGAATTTTGGATGCCTGGACCTTGCTATCATTGTATACACTTGAAAGATACTTTCTGGAGGCTCTTTGTCTGATTTGATAGTCGTTAGTGTATCTGATTTTTTGTTCTCAATGTTTCAGCTCCGAAAGTGGGGTTGGATGCATCATCTTGCTCGACACAGTGTTGCATGCTTTCTAACTCGTGGGGATCTGGTAAATCACTTCAAGTCTTGGGTAAAAGTTAGTCTTTGAATAATTTCTCCATTTTTTACTTGTTAGTGTTGTGTTGATAGTTTGTACATTGGGAGAAAGGGCGTGATGTTTTCGACAGACTGCTTATTGACTCTGATTGGGCAATCAACAACGGAAACTGGTTGTGGCTATCTTGCTCTTCATTTTTCTACCAGGTGAATGTTATTTTTTGAGTCATAATTATGTTTATTAGGAGTGATTTTCGGCTTTGAACTGGTGTTTTGATATCTTTTTCCATTGGTCACAAAAATGCATCAATTATATTCACTTTGTGGAGAATCTTGTTATCCCAAAGATCACATTATACGAAATTAAGTAGTTGAATGAAATACTGGTCTTTTATCTGTTCAAATATAAGACTTCAACAAGAATCAGGTGCTTCCAAATGTTAAGTAAATTTAATCAGACGATCCTAAATGTTTATCTCAAGAAGTGCTTAGTTTAACATTGTTCCACATCTCGACCAGTTTTCCTGGATGACCTCAAATATTCTCACCATTGAGGTTCTCTACTTTTCAGTACCATCGAATTTATTCACCAACCTCATTTGGGAAGAAATATGATCCTGCCGGGAACTATATCAGGCATTTTCTCCCTGTTTTAAAAGGTACGTTGAACTGATTTTCTTATGATGCAATTCCTTTTCCTTTGTTCTCTCTTATTGGCAAATCTAAATTCAATGACAGATATGCCAAAGGAGTACATATATGAGCCTTGGACTGCTCCCCTAAGTGTCCAACGTAAAGCAAGATGCATCATTGGCTTAGATTATCCCAAACCAGGTCAGTCATTTCGGCTTCTTGCAGTTTGCTTCTCTATCTGACACTCACACCTATTATGTTTAACGCCTATCATATTTATACTATATGAAAGCATATGCTTTTTTATGAGGTACACAGTTTTTTTTCCTTTCCAGAAACATGCATTTTGATTCAGCAACATAGATTGAACTCTTATTTCGTTCATTTTGATGATTCAAACATGCCTAAAACAATACTATATCCCAAAAGTTCCACATTGTAGTAACTCATTCATTATTGGTTAATTCGGCCTTGTCATGCATACAATGAAATTGAATTCTCGAATACTTTTGGTGTCAAGATCTTGAAAAAGTTTAATCCTAGCTAGTTCTTGTGATGGATTTTGCTCTACTTCTACTTCCCTACTCTTGATTTATTGTCTCCATGCTTTCTGATATTCTCAAACGCTTTAAGCAATTATAGTTACGTATCCTAATAGATGGATCTCTACCTCTGTTCTCTTTGTACGAACGAGTGGTAACATTTGTAACTGCAAATATTGATTCAGTGTTTCTTTTTGCCAGTTGTTTCCCATGATTCTGCAAGCAAAGAATGTCGGATGAGACTTGGTGAAGCGTATGAATTGAACAAAAAGCTGAATGGCTTGGTTAGTGAGGAACACTTGAACAAGTTAAGAAGAAAAAACGACGATGAATCTACCATTCTGGATTCCATTTCCAGGAGGAAGAAACAGAAGTTAATTGGCTAAGATTGCACCATCGAAGCCATAGCCAGATTTCTACAAGATTTGCCGCAAGGTGCCCCAGCAATTATAGGAACTACAAAAGGAGCATTTTCCTTCAATTACATCCCCCTTAAAATGATTCCAAGAGTGTTCAAATGTAGGAATCCTTTGTATCATGTATATGCCAGGAGAATATAGTTAACATTATTGAGAAAGAGGCATACCTCTGGTATATGCAATATTTCCTTCTTTG